ATTCAAATGTCCAAACCTCAAATGCTACAACCAACTATCCTTGTGGTCGACAACAGTTTTCAAACATTGAACTTCTGTCGAGCTGATCATAGTCTTAAATGTCCTATTCTTCGATAATGGAGATTTTAAGACCAAATTGTTCTTGGTGTCGAACAATTTCAAAACTCCATCTTTCATGACAACTGAGAAACCTTTTTCGACTAGTTGTCCAACACTTAGCAAGTTGCATTTCATTCCAGGTACATAGAGCACATATTTGATCATAGTTTCCCTCCATTACTCATTTTAAAGACTATGTTGCCAGTACCTTCTACTTGAAACGAACTATTATCAGTAAGTTTTACCTTGCTCTTCTTCGACTCGTCAAAATCTGCCAACCACTACTTTCAACCAGTCATGTAGTTCGAGCAGCCTGAGTCGAGAAACCAGATCTTGGATTCGACATGGTTATCTGCAACTGCATCCATAACCATCATACCACCTTCAGAATCATCTGAATCTTGGTGTGCAAGGTTCGCTCCTTCGTCTTTGCCTGTCGGTCCCTTGTCTTTTTTGTACCAATAATTCTTGGCCAAGTGTCCTCACTTTTCACAGTTATAACACTGCATATCTTTCTTATCTTCTTTGTCCTTTCAATAGTTTCCTCCTCCCCTTTTCGAGGATTCAGAAGATCTATCTTCGACCTTGTTCTTATGGGGATTCGACTAAGACTTCTTGCCATGAGTCTTGCCGAACTTGCCTTTGAATTTATTGGAACCACCATCCTTTTTCCATGACTGAGCTTGCAGTGCCTGTATCGAGTCCTAAACTCCTTTCCTTTCGACAATCCTCATCTCATGCGCCTCCAATGAACCAACCAAATCTTCCACTTTAGTGGTTTCAAGATCGTTGGATTCTTGAATAGCTACGATAACATGATCAAAGTGAGAGGTTAACATTCTCATTACCTTATCAACTATCATCTTATCAGTAACAGTTTCACCACAACCCTTCATGAGATGGACGCATTTCTGAACCTTCGACACATATTCTGCTACTTTTTCATCTTCTCCCATCGACAACAACTCATATTGTCGATGTAAGGTTTGTAATTTGACAACCTTGACTTTCTCACCTCCTTCGTAATACTTCACCAGAATATCCCATGCCTCCTTCTCCGTTTCAGCATGAGAGATTCTGTCGAAATTAGCAGCATCGACAACCATTTGAATGCAATAAACAACCTTACAATCTTTCTTCTTGACTTCATTGTGGGCTTTTTTCTGTTCGTCGGTTGCATTTGCAGCCAACACAGGAACGCCGTCGGTAACCACTTCTAGGGTTTCATGGAAGCCAAACAATGATTGCATCTGTTTTTCCATCGGATCCAATTTTTGCCGTCAAGCATTGGAAGAGAATTTGAAATACCCTTATCACTAGCCATCTTTGCAACAGTTGATTCGCTTGCCCTAGAAACACGATCTCTGATATGAAATTCTTGAAAACTTGATAAAAAAACAATAACCAGAAGCTCTGATACCAATTTGTTAGTGCGTGAGACACTTTTAGTGAGGAGAGAAAGAGAGAATAATAAAGGAAATAAGGGATTTTATTATTGAATTGTACAAATAATGATACACACTATGACTATTTATATACAACCCTAACTGGATTTGGGCTAACACAACTTGGATTATATTTAAATATTAAATCTAATCAAATTAAATCTAATCAAATTAAATCTAATTTAATATTTCAACAAAACACACATCAAAACTATTTTATAACAAAACTAGAAAAAATTTTATTGAAGAAATATATATATATATATATATATATATATATATATATATATATATATATATATATATATATATATATATATATATATATATATATATATATATATATATATATATATATATATATATATATTAACAAAGAGAACTTGAACACTAAGAAGGCAACCATAACATATCAAAATAACGTAAGAGAGAGAAATAGTTGTGGCAGACAGTGAGAGCATCTGTTCAGTGAAAAAAAATTTGTGACGTATGATTTCTACTTTCTATGTTTTGGTCATTTTAGATGTGTGTTTTGCTGAAAGGAAGAAAGTGTAAACAAAGATTGAGAATGATTTGACTAATACAAAATTTGAATTTAATGATGGATAGAATAAAAGATTTATAACGTAATTATATCTAATGATTCAGTTCATCGGTTTGGTGATTCCTAAAAACTAAAACTGAGAACCAAACCAAACCACATCGATTTTTATTGGTTCAGTTTGTTTTTAAAACCGAACAAAAAAAAATCAATTTAATTTCAATTTGATTTAATTTTTATTATCGATTTAATTGATTTTTTTTAATGATTTTCTTACATCCTTACTTGTATGTATAATTATAATGTATTACTCCCTCTAATCTTATTTATAAAAAAGTTAATTTTTTAATAATTTCTACTGTATAATTGGTTATAAACACTTTTTAGTGTTTTTTAAATAAAAACTACATTATTATAATTATTTTATCATAAATATAAAATATTTTGTGTAAATAAATTATTAACTTGCATAAAAAATAAAATAAATTTTATATTTAATTTTAAGAAATTTTTATTTCAATTTTATTTACCAACTAAATTGTATATTTGTATATTTAGTTACATATAATTCAAAATTTATTATGAATTATAATAATTTTATCATTATATTAGTTAATATAACAATTTTAAAAATAAAATTATTAATTATATTTTTTAATTTTTAATTTTTTAAAATTATTTAAAAAAAATAAATTTATCAAATAAATTTTTTATATTTCTAAAATAGTATTGAAAAATTATATTACCAAACAAATGTTTTATTTCTAATTTTTTTGAAACTCTTTAAAAACAATTTTAAGAAACATAATTTCCAAAATAAAAAGTGTTCTGGACTGGACCTGTCCTTGGTCTAACTCCCACTAAGGCCCAATCTAAATGTATCAACTTGTATCACTGACCGGTTCTATCCTCGAATACGGCAAACAACTACCACATTTTCCCCACGAGGAGACAACCTCATCATACGGAGACAACACCCCGAGTAGACTAACGACGGTCACCTCCGACCATGAAGGCTTCGAGGACACCCCGACTAGCTCGTTAGCCAAGGCTGGTCCCCTCACTCGACCTCGCGTATGGCGGAGATCACCCACGACGGGCAGATGCTTCTCCCGAGCATCCTCCTCGTAGGACTGACTACCAACGTCTCTGGATATCACGGAGTCTTCGTGGCCCCGAAAAGATCGCATCCATATCCTTCTGATCTTGCGGAGGACGTCATCCAAATAGGAGACCACGTGCGGGTCCCCACTACTCACGTAGGACCTGACAGTCTCTATGTTGGGCCTGTTTGACCAGCCCAATGAAGAGACCTTGACCCAGCGCTGGGACTATAAATACCCTCTCTTTCGAGAGGGTCAAATATTCAACACTTTCTTACTCTCACGCTTGCTTGCTCATTCCACAATTTACTTTGACATTGGAGTATCTTGCATGTACCCCACCTCACTTAACTTCTGTTTGAGATAGCTGTGACGATCCATTCTGATTAGGTATGATCAAAAAACAAAACAGATCACAAACTTTAAAATATACTTCTTCTTGTTTTATTTATAATGTTTTATTAAATTTATTAAATAATTAATATATTTTATCTATCATATTAAATAGACACATTAATTTTTTAATGAATTTATAGATAGAAGTAGGACAGGAGGTAGTAATAATTTTTAAAATGAAAGGAATGGAAAATTCAATTTTGTAAAAATAATAGAGTAATGCTGAATATAAGTAGATGAGAGCGTGATTATCAACCGTTCTAATAAGTTCCTACACATTTACTAATGTTACTGGATCAAAGGCTTTTGGATATTTGAGATCAACGTTCTTAATGAAACACACGCTCTTACAATTAAAGTGACTCATATTTATTATTAAACAATTCATTTATTCAATAAAAGAAAATCATGCAATGGTAATATTTGGGAAAAAGCTACAACAGTAATTAATTTGATTTCAATATACTGATTTCATTTTGTAATAATAATAATTGCAACGACAATAAAATAACGGTAATTTTTTATTAGTGTAAATAAGTAATTTATTTTATCACATTTTTCATTTTTTCATTCACGTGTAGTGTAAATTTGACCAATTTATTTTATCTCATATTAATTTCTTTGTCCACACATTTCATTTCAAAATGAACTCCAATCAACATAACACATCGTTCAATTTTATATTTATATAAAATGATGGAAGTCCTCCTCATATTCCAAATCAATAAATCCATATTTTAGAAATGTACTTTTAATTTTAAATCCACACCATAACTCTGTTGTGTATATGCATTCAATCCTTTATTATTATATTCAATGTTCAAAAACCAAATAGTATAGACAATAAAATGAAGGATCATTGTTATTATTACTATTATTTGATTTGGTGACATGAGATGCATTTTCATTTCAGAACCAACAGACATATTGCTCTCATCATGGAGGTCTTTGCTCCCGCAACCATTTCAAACTGTGTTAGATCGTTTTTGATTTTCCAATTTGGGCCAGGGAGGTTCTCATTCTTCCACTCCTTCCATCGATTCCAATTATCTCCATACCTATAAATATGAGGTGCTGACACCCGCAACACTTTTGTTGATCATCTTTATGCTCATCTAACAAGAAAAGGTATAAAAGGCTTGACAAAGGGGAGTCCCTTTCGCCGCAACTTCTTCAAGCTATTCAAAATTCTAGGACATCAATTGTTGTCTTCTCTGAAACATATGCCAGGTCTACGTGGTGTTTGGACGAGATGGCTACTATTGCCGAATGCCGTAAAGAATTCAAACAAACAATTTTCCCTGTTTTTTATGATGTCGATCCATCTCATGTACGAAATCAGACTGGGGTGTACCAGAATGACTTTGTTTACACAAGAAGAAATTCAAACATGATCCAAACAAGGTTGTGAGATGGATGAATGCTATGAAAGTTTTAGCTAACTTAGTCGACTGGGATGTCAGGAACATGTAAGTGTTTTCCCTTTGTTGTTACTTGTTTTGCATTTAATATCTATTGCATTTAATATCCTCATCGATTTTAGGATAAATAGTTTAATTGAGTGCCTATTCATAAATTCTGGTCGTATAAGAGCTTATGAATAAGCTGTTTCTATGTTCATGTGTTCAATTTATTATATAAATTGATATAAATTGGATTTACAGGAGATATTAAAAAGGTTGTTGTAGAAAGTTATGATGGAGGTACAAAGTGTAGTTATTGATATTAATTATGCATCTAGAATCGATGTTAAATATAACTTCTGCCAGAATTTAACAACTCAACAAAATTGGCATGGTGGAAAGGGTGAGCGTCCATAACTCATGTATTTAGGGAGTTGAACTATTATTTATTTCTCCTTGTAAATATAGTGTGTATTTAAGTATCATAGTTGCTGGGGGCTTTACTCACTCAATCACATTAAAAAAAGATGACTCTTTTGATTTTACTATTTCAGGCCAGAGTCTATAGAGATTGAAACAATTGTTCAAGCAGTAATAAAAACTTTGAATCATAAATTCTCAGGGTTTACCAGTGATCTTGTTGGGATGCAACCTCACATAAAAGAATTAGAAAAGTTTCTAAAATTGAGTTCAAAGGATGATGGCTTCTGGGTTCTCGGAATTTGGGGGATGAGTGGAGTAGGAAAGACAACTCATGCTACTCTTTTGTACGACAGAATCTCTTATCAGTTTGATGCTCGTTGTTTTATTAATAACACAAGCAAACTTTATATGGATGGTGGTATTGTTGCTGTACAAAGACAAATTCTTGGACAAGCTCTAGACGAAAGAAATCTAGACTCGTACGATACTTGTGAAATCGCCGGGATTATGTTAAGTAGGCTTCAAAGTGGCCTTAAGGTCCTTCTAGTCCTTGACAATGTTGATCAATTAGAGCAATTGCAGGAATTAGGTATAAATCCTAAATTACTTGGGAGTGGCAGTAGAATAATCATAACCACAAGGGAGAGCATCTTCTAAGAGTGTACGGGGCTGATAAAATTCACAAAGTTCCATTGTTGAATAGTAGTGATGCTTCTGAACTTTTTTTTAGAAAAGCCTTCAAAGGTGAATACCAAAGCAGTAATTGTGTTGAGTTGATTCCAGAGATACTAAAATATGTTCAAAATCTTCCATTAGCAATTAAAGTAGTGGGCTCTTTCTTGTGTACTCGAGATGCTACTCAGTGGAGAGATGCTTTGGATAGATTGAAGAACAATCCAGACAACAAAATTATGGACGTGCTCCAGATGAGTGCTGATGGACTACAACATGAGGTAAAGGAAATATTTCTGCACATTGCTTGTTTTTTTAAAGGGGAGAGGGAAGATTATGTAAAGAGAATTCTAGATGCATGTGGATTATACCCGGAAATAGGAATTCAAAGAGTCATTGAGAAGTCACTCATTACCATTAAAAACCAAGAGATTCATATGCATGATATGTTACAAGAACTTGGGAAAAAAATTGTTCGGCACAGCTATCTCGATGACCCAGTATTGTGGAGTATCTATATGGCGATGCAATGATTTCTATCATGTCATGGAGACAAAAACGGTAACAAATTATGTTTTAAAATCTAGAGTGCGCCATTTATGCTTTTTGAATGAATTTAACTTGAGGGGGTCATGTGGGGAAAATAATAAGACCAATTTTTTTTCTAGAAAATCATCATGGAGTTCATTTCAAATAACAGTCATAGCGGAAACTAGTTTTAAAATAAAATTTTAAGAAAACCAATTACTATACTATGATTCCATGATTTTCTTATTTCGTTGGACATTGTAATGTTTCTAACATGGTTAGTTCGCGTAATTTCATTTTTTTCATTCTTTCCATGTTATGCTTATTCTGTTCTTTTCCCAGGGAACATACAATAATGTTAAAGCGGTAGTTCTGGATCAAAAGGAAAATTTCTCCAAATGCAGGGCTGAGGGATTTTCAAATATGAGCAACCTTGTACTTCTCATGTTGTATCATAACAACTTTTCAGGAAATTTGGATTTTCTTTCCAACAACTTGTGCTATCTTTTGTGGCATGGATACCCTTTTATTTCTTTGCCGTCAAATTTTGAGCCAGTTTGTCTTGTGGAATTAAATAGGCCTGATAGTAGCTAGGGGTGTTCAAAATCAAACCGGCCCAATGGAAAACCGCAAAACCGAACCGAACCAAACCGAAACCGCAAAAAACTGTATTTGGTTCGGATGTGTTTGGGTCATTTTCTCGTTGAACCGCATGGTTCGGTTCGGTTTGCGGTTTATATTTTACAAACCGAACCAAACCAAACAAAACCGCATTATGTTATAAAATATTACTAACCAATATATATTTCTATAATTCTTTAGAGAAATCAACATGTATTATGTGTATATTTTATCATACTTTGTATTATATTCATTTTAATTTACAAATCATAAAAGATAAAATATTATTCATTTATAAATACTATTTTCACAAAATATATTTTATCATATTCTTTGTATAATATTTATTTAAGAATGCAATCTTGTTGATATCATTATTTAGATTTAGATAAAATTATAATACGCAATTTTATGTATCAAATTATAAATTTATTTTGACAATTATAAATTTTTTATGGTAATGTATGAACAATTAAATATAAAATTATATTTTCCTATATATTTGTATGTATGACATAATAATTATTTTTGTAAAAAACCGAAACAACCGAACCAATCCAAACCGCATTAGTTTGATTTGGTTTGGTTCGGATTTATTTTTAAAAGTCAACCGAACCAAACCGAACCATATGTTTTTTTCTCTTGCGGTTCGGATGATTTTTTGCTTCAAAACCGCCAAAACCGCACCGCAAACACCCCTAATAGTAGCATTCAAAGACCGTAGGAAGGTTGCAAGGTACTTTAATTACTTTTATAGGTGGGATCAAGTTAGTTTTAAATTTGACCATTTTAATTGTTGATTATTGTCATATTAAATTAAAGATCAAACATAAAGTTTCTTATATATTTAAAATTTGTAGCCACTTAGTCTCGTAGTTGACATCTAGTTTTTTTTTTAATGAAGTTTATAATACAATCATTTAAAATTACTTGATAAGGTATCTGTTAGGCTCTTTTATGCTAAGACTATGAAAACTATAAAAGTTTGCACTTAATTTTGAAATCACACCACAACAGGTTTTAATAAGTTCAAGTCTTAGTGAAACGTTTTTACTGATGGTTGCTAATTCTCTTAATAGGAACTACCTAATTTGAAAAGGATGGATTTGAGCAACTCCAAGTATCTTATAGAGACTCCAGAGTTTTTTTGGACCCCAAAAATCAAGCGGCTAGATTTTACAGGATGCACAAACTTAATACAGGTCCATTCATCAATTGGATATCTTACAGAACTTGTTTTCGTAAGTTTTCAAAACTGCAGCAGTTTGGTTGACCTTGATTTTGGTAGTGTATCAAGATTAAGTTCTTTGAGAGTTCTACACCTTTCTGGTTGTACAAAACTTGAAAAGACGCCAAGTTTTACCGGCACATCTAATCTTGAGTACCTTGATATGGATGAATGTACAACTTTATCCAAAGTTCATGAACCCATTGGGGATTTGACAAACCTTAAATTCTTGAGTTTGAGAAACTGCACAAATCTGGTTGAAATGCCCAATAGAATTAAGAGGATGGCATCCGTTGTAACGCTAGATTTTTGCGGTTGCTTGAGTCTTAGCATTCTACCCCTGAAATGTACTCGTACTGATCATATGAGATCTTTGATTTTTCTAGATTTAAGCTTTTGCAATCTTCATGAAGTACCAGATACTATTGGAACGTTAAAGACGTTAGAAAGACTAAACCTACAAGGAAACAAATTCCGTTCACTACCTGATGTTTTCAACATTCTTCCCAACATAGCATATGTAAACTTATCTCATTGCCACGAGCTTGAAACTGTTGAATTCCAACCTTTAATTAGTGCTTTTTCTGAAGGAAGGTATTTTAATGGAGGAACATATTTTGACATAGCAGCAGGATCTCGTGATCATAGATCTGGATTATATATATTTGACTGCCCCAAGATCATGAAGATGAGCATAAACCTAACCATGGGATATAGATGGTTTCGAAGACTGCATGAGGTGTGTACGTTGCTTATTTTCCCCAAATTCTCTAGCTTTGATAGATTAGTTCAGTATTATTTTTTTCTTCTGATATAACATGTGCAATCAGGAAGGCCTATAATGCAACATATTTAAATTAACTTGTTGCATTTCCTTAATAAGGAGAAGTTATTCTAGAATGTTCTCATGTTCTGGTAATTATATATTTAGTCGTCTAACTATTATCTACAAGCCGCAAGCTACTTAATACTTTTCGTGGCTAATAATTATATGCCATTTTCTTGCACTCTCTAACTCAGTATACTTGCGTTGTTTTTCTTCTGGTACCAGAATCCCCAAAACTTTCGGGGTGGCTTTGACATCGTTATTCCTTGGGATTGGAAAAATATTGATCATCCATCAAGTGGATGTACTCTAAAGTGGTTCAATCACCAATTTGATGACGGTTCAATAATAAGGATAGTGGATTTTGATGAGTTTTACAAGAATTTTGGCTTTGCCTTCTATGTTTCATTTGAGGTAAACAATCGTCCTGTGAATTCTGGTCCTCCACGGGATTCATTTTCTTCAGCACTCCCACATCCTTTTTGAAAGTGAACACACAGAGGAACTAAAATCCAACTTCCTTACAATTGGTTGGTTACTGAACAGGAGGAAATTGAGAATTCTGGAGCCAAGTCAAAAGAAATCGATCTTTCTAATCTGGGCCTTGAGGTAATTATCTTACCTAAGCAGTGGCATATTGTTCAGTAATAATTCATTACCATTGTTAATTAATATTTAATTTTATAACTAATGATATGAATTATTAATATAGCACATCCATCTCTTGTAATACAAGTTTATCCAATAATTTCTCTTTAATTAATGTGTTGAGACTTTTTTAATAATTTGATTTTTGTCCAGTGAAAATGCCTGATTATTTGAGGTAAGGTTCTTTCATGAAGTTGGTCAGGGGAATGAAGACATGATAGGTACTGTTATTCTATGTTTGTGGAGGATGAATGTTGTTATTAGTTGCAACTCGGGAATTTCTTATATTGATGGAATTTGGCCATTCTAAGCTTGTTGTCAAATGATTTCCACGTCTTGTGCTTGTGTTAATTGTTTAAATTTTATACATTATTTTGCCCAATATGCACAAATTAGTAAATATTCATGAAGAGATTTGAATTACCGTTTGCAAGGGGAAGACATAAGACATGATTGACCAATAATGGTTAGTTCAGGTGGTAAGAAGTTTTACGTACAACCAGGGGATTCATGATGTGGGTTAGATTGGTTTCGAGTTAAAAACTCATATTTTTCAAAGATGATTTTACATGTGGTTTAGTTTTGGATGATTGATTAAAAAAATTCTGATCCGATCCAAGTTTAATTTATGTTGGAATATACACAAAATTTAAATTGGTGAATCAATGATGACAATGATTAATTAGAGAAGATGAAATTTAGAGAGAATTTGGAGATTAAGAGAGAGAGAGAGTAATTGAGGAGAAATATTAAAATTGACATTAACTCAAACATACATTATAAGAGGGTATTTATAGGATCATCTAAAACAAGTTGGAATCAAACTGGCTCAGCAAAACAGCTTAAAATTGAAAAAATCGTGACAAAAATCGATTTCCTAAAACAGGGAACCAGTTTCCTTAACTGAAAATAAAAACTAGAAAGCTGAAACACGTGACATAAATCAGTTTCTCAAATTGTGAAACCGATTTCTTCTTCGAAACTAAAAAATCTCCGGCTTTTCAGAAGTGATTTTTAATTAAGTTGTTTTATACGAAACGATATCAGAAACTTTTAAAATGCATTTGAATTATTATCAACTTCCAATACACCACCTTAATTCAAATGCTCAACATTCTTCATACATAAACTCCTGACAAGCTTCTTGAACACATCATTTGTCACACCTTTCGTTAACAAATTCGCAAGTTGTTCTTCGCTTCGATAGTATCCTAACTTCAACTGGCCTGCACACACCAGTTCCCTCAAGTAATCAAAACGCATCTCGATATGTTTGCTCATCCCATGTGCTACGGGATTCCTCACAAGATTAATGGTTGAAATGTTATCAACCAAGAGTGTGACCGTTTTTTCTGCATTGTTGTCCAACTCCTTTAGCAGATTCACAAGCCACATAGTCTGATACACACACACACCGACGCAATGATATACTCAGTCTCACAAGAAGAGAGTGTAACTACATGTTCCTTTTTAGAGCACCAAGAGATTGGATCTCCGCCGAATATAAAGACATAATCAACCGTAGACTTTCGATCATCCTTATCTCTGTACCAATTAGAATTTGTGTAACCGAGTAACTCACAATTTTTGCTCGTATCAGCTGCGAGAAAGAGAGTTCCATAACCAAGAGTTTATTTGATGTATCTTAGGATCCTCTTAACTGCTGCCAAATGAGAGACTTTTGGTCTCTCCATGAATCTACTTGCAATACCGAAATAAAATGTCAAATCTGGTCGCGTATTGCACAAGTAACGTAACGATCCAATCAATCTTCTATATTGCGTTGGATCCACATCTTGTCCATCTTCACTTTTGGACAACTGCAACCCTGCTTCATCCGATGTTATGGCAGCATTACAATGTTCCATATCACACTTTTTTCAAAATCTCAAGAGCATACTTTCTTTGATGCATAAGCAGCCTCATTTTTTACTTATGGAACTCTATGCCAAGAAAGTAAGTCATGGTTCCAAGGTCACTCATTTCAAAATCTTCCATAAGTCCACTCTGAAACTTAGAAATATTCACTTCATTGCTGCCCGTAATCAATAAGTCGTCCACATATAAGAAAAATATAATCACCTATTTGCTTGCATCCGTCTTCACATAAACACCATGTTCAGATACTCACTTCTTGGATTTTCCTTCACATTATAAACCCATTTCACTCCTATTGGCTTTTTCCATTCCGGTAAATCGACCAACTCCCAAGTACTGTTTTTCTCAATCGTTTCTAGCTCCTCTTTCATCGCACACACCCACTTTGAATTTCTTAATGCCTCCTCCGTGCTCACAGACTCAAATTCGTTCATAAGCACAAAGTGAATAAGATCAACATCATTGTTGATCTTATTATCATGAAATACTTTACAATCTCGGAGCCTTTGAGGTATATCTATGCGCCTTGTTGGTTGTCTACTGGATTCACCATTTTCAACTTCGACCGACTGATGAACTACACCTGCAGAATTCTGCATTTATGCATTTTCCTGTGGAAACCGGTTTCCATAAAAAGGGGAACCGGTTCTTGCGTCGAAAATTTCAGTTCTAGTAGCTTCAGGATGCAAAACCTGTAGAGGAAACCGGTTACCCTCATCCAAGAAACCAATTTCCAGTACTGTCATGGATTTTATGTGCTGTCAAACAACCTTAACTCGTCCACGACCACATCTCGACTTATCACAATATTCTTGCTACTCACATCAAACAACTTGTAGCCTCCGGTAGAATGATAACCAACTAGCAAAATTATATCTCCTTTGTCATCTAACTTCTTTTAAAGCTGACCCGGAATATGTCGAAATACTATCGAACTGTAAACCTTCAAATGACTCAAACTTGGTTTATGACCAGACTGAAATTTTGGTATCAGATATGTGATGTCGAATGAGATGTCACGACACAAATATCTGAAGAACAAAGTAAAGTGCAACAATAATAAAAACAGTAAAAACATAAGGGATTGTTAACCCAGTTCAGTGTACAACAACACCTACTCTGGGGGCTACCAAGCAAGGGACAAGTCCACTAAATAGTATTAATTCATAGACCCTCAGTAAACAACCAGTTTACGATCTAATCACTTAATCACTACCCATGCCATACCTCTACCTAAGACTCACCTAGGTATGAGGCCCTCCTCAAATCCCTTCAATCACTTACAGTGAAGAAACAACAAAAATAATAGGTTTAAAAGACTTCAATCATTCAATGCTTAAAAGCTTATGAATGATACACAATTAACAACCCAAATAACAACGCATGTATTAAATCAATACTAGAGTGTTTGACAATTAAAAGACTTAGACTTCTAAGACAGAAAAAAAGTATTCTTCAAAAGTTGCAGTGATATGAATAAGGAAATAGGTCCTTATATATGCGCAACAGTGGGCTTGAGCTGAAAAAAAAATATTCAATTCTTTTGAATATTTCCATAAAAACAGGCCAAGATATAATCCATAAAGATAATTCAAATTGAAAAATATTCCTCTATATTTTTCGCAGTCTATGAGTCATAAATCCTGAATTATGGTGCACAGGAAATCAAGAAACAGAAAACTTAAACTGATATTGGACTGAGTTTAATTCAGGAGGCAGATGTCAAAACACCTGCTTTGACATCATTCAAAACAGTTTTGTTTCAAATATTAAGACATTTAGCAAAATATTATCAAGTCATTGTTTTACCAAAGTTGCTGCCAATAAACACTTATAAACTCCCCCTTTGGTAAGCTTTGGCTAAAACATTATCAGAGCAGAAGCATAAGCAAAGCAAGCAAAACAGAAAAAAAACTCAGTTAGCAGTTAGCTGTTAGCAAAGGAAGATGTCAAAACATCTTCTGAGACATGAGGCTCCCCTCAAGTATTAATCTTCCCATATGTAGCGGTAGAAATATTAAGACTAAGTCATTGGATTGACTTGACTTGTACATATCAAAATAAAAATTGCCATCGTACTTTATTATTTCCAAAGGAATGGGAAAAGAGCGAATAACCTAAAAGAGGGGGAAAGATTCTAGGTAAGGGGGTTGATTATGAAAAGGGAAGGCATTAGCACCCTAAATATCTACGGTACTCTGCATAAACTTCTTTGTAAAATCTGTATATTTTGGCTATAAAATGTTGTATAAAAAATAGATTGTGGTGATGAGAAAAGAAGTATTTTTTTTAAATAATTTTTTCACCCGCCGCAGTTGCGAACCTTTAGTACCTACGTACCACTTTCTATGCAATAGGGGATCAGAGTACTCATAGTTTCTCTTTAAAAAATTTAAAACACAAGTGTGTTGGTTAATTTTAGGAGACAAAACGTCATTGTCATTGTCCGCGTGGAAAACATACTTACTACCCACAATTATGAGAAAGGAGAATTTGCATCATCTCAAAGTGGAGGATATGGCTTGGATTTTAAAATCAACAATGCCTCACTCAAATCCAAGTGGAAAATATCTCACTTCACTACATATTGTAGAAGTATAGTCGTTTGCATCACTACAAGGATTGACAAGAGTCTAAATTTTTGAGAAAAGTTTTTTTAAAGATAAAAGCCGAAATGGAAAAATAGTTTGAATGAAATTCGTTGACTTTTAGTCTTCTCACAAAAATTGTCGAGGTATTGTTAAGTTGATTGAAATTTGATTAAGAAATACTTTTTGAAAATAGATGGACATAATTCCAAGTTTATTATGAAAGTGTTCAAGGTTTAAAAACAAGAAGATTTTTCAAAAGGAGGGAGAAGATTTTTGAAATTAAAGAAGATAGGAGGAGATGAAGAGACTATCCTAAAGCATAAGGTAAAAGCTAAAGAGAAAGACCATCTAACCAAACAAGAAGCCAACACTTGACATAATGAGTCAATGTAGAATTCCATCCTTTGGATTTGAAACCAAGCAAACAATTAATAAATCCCTTAAGAATACCAAACTTCAATTGCATTAAGTCTTCACAAAAATTGGCCAGAGTAACAGCTGTATACAAATGAATTTCAGATCACAGACAAAGCATGTAGTCACAATAACCTGCACACAAAACAAACAAACAACCCAATGTCTCGGGGGTAACCCCCAAGAACTCCAGACAAAACAACAATTGAGGTCACAAGGTCTCAAGGTAGATCAAGGCTTCTAATCCTAAGTCTAAGAAGTTCACAATCTCCA